TGACAGACATCTTTTCTACACCTAGAGGTTACCCAAGCACCCTCTTAGATTTTAGATACAAATGTTCCGGGATGTCTGGGTGCGACACAGGAGGAGGGAATAGGGGTGATGGTGCATCAATTTAGATATCTTTCCTGGCTGCATTGAACCGGTCATGTGCGAACAGATACGTTTATTAAGTAGATGGTTAATAGTTGACTACATGTCATCATCACCCTCATGAAGTGGTGGGCAGCTCCGTTAGGGTAGCAATGCGTTCTCCTTGGCTTGCTGCAGGTGAGCTTTCACCTGCAATTTCTCTATGCTGTTCAAACTCTGGCTCACCATGAACCAGACAACACGGCCTGCTCTGCTCTGCTCTAACTGAGAAAAGCTGTGGTTCTGGTTATTTTCAATGGTTGAAAGCAGCACCAGTTTAACCCCTGTATCATAATTAGATTGGATGGCGTTATCAGGACCATAAGAAAACACACACTCCTCCACCAACCCCCCTTATTTTAACAGATGACGGAAATCCTTCCCGGCCACGTTCAAAATGATGGAAATCTGATGCAGCAACTGAAAGCTTTAATCCATGTGGTCAAGGTCGCCAATTCATCTCTCAGGTTTGGAGAGCCTTTCGTCAAGCCTTAGGAGCCACATCCAATCTCACATCTGGTTATCATCCACAGTCGAATGGCCATACGAAAGTTGCAACCAGGAGCTGCAGGCTGCACTGACAAGTGATCAATAACAACCCGTCCACATGGTGTCAGCAATTACCCTGGATCGACTATGAACACAACACCCACACTTCATCCACCACTGGTCACCATGTCAAACCTCTATGGGCTACTCACCTCCAATGTTCCCTAGCCAGGAGTCTGATTTCATAGTTTCCTCTGTCCAGCACCATCTCTGCAGGTGTCACAGGATCTGGCGACAAACCAGAAAGGCCCTCCTTAACACTGTGGAACAAAGTAAGAGGTTGGCAAACAGACACAGCACACCAGCTCCAGATTACAAGGTGGGGCAAAAGGGTAAGGCTCTCCATCAGAGGCATTACACTTAAAGGCACTCCCAGGAAACTCACCCCTAGGTTCATCGGTCCTTTTCCCATTGTTGAAATACTCAACCCCACAGCCATCAGACTTCGGTTACCCTCCTTTATGAGAATACATTCCACCTTTCATGCGTCTCAGATCAAGCCTGTTGCAAAAATACCTCTAAACCACCTGTTCTATCTCCCTCCACCAGTCCCTGAACCCTGACAAAAAAAAATCTTCTTCTTCTTCTTCTTCTTCTTCCTCATCATCGTCATCATCGTCATCATCGTCATCGTCAAAATAATCACATTTTAGATGTACACCGTAGGGGTCAGGATTTCAATATCTGGTGGATTGAGAGGGCAACAGTCCCAAATAAAGGTTCTGAATCCCCAGATGCTTCATCCTCTGTCCTGGTCTCATCACAGTTTTTTATAAACAGCATCCCGAGAAGCATTTTTTATTGTTTACAAGCAATTCTTGAGGGGGGATTACTGTGAATATTCTGTTTTTCTACCACTAGCCACAGTCTTGCATATGAGTGGCAGGATGGAGCTTACCTTTCACACATGTTCCTGATCTAGTTCTAAGAGGTCTGTTGTATTTAAGGATCTGTGGCTCAGTATATCTCAACCTTGACCTCTCTAAATGGCTTTAAGAATCTGTTGGACTCCTGGCAGGGACCAATGCAGACATGTTCCTGTTTTTAGTTTTCTACATTCACCTCAGAATCTAGCTGTTTTTTGTTACTTTTCTTTTTTTTTTTTGCCATCCTATTTGTTAAAAAAAATTAAAAAATCTGTATGCCTTTTTATAACTGTCTATTGTTGTCGTTGTTGTCCATTGTTGTCATCATTTTTTGTTGAAATCAGGTCTCTCTTGTAAATGAGTCCTCGAGGCTCAATGGGATTTACCTGTCTAAATAAAGGTTGAATGAACATCTCCACTGGAACATTTGAGACCTTTGGGTAACAAGTCATCAGCCCTATGCAATCCTTATCTCTGATGAGATGCTACTAACCTGTATTATTTGTGTTTTCTCCAGTCCTGAGTACTTACCTATGAAAGTTCTGCTGCCTTGAGCACCCCCTGAGTTACCTTCCTATGAGCTCTAGAGCTTGGCACCACTTACCTTATTGCCTCATCATCTAACTAGGTCAGTCCGTGAGTTTCCATCCTGCCATTCTCCTATGTACCAATATTCACCACATCACCTCTTGAACCACCTATTGTTGGAATCCTTCTTCCTTCTCTCCTCACCTGTAACTAACAAATAAATTCATCCTGAGCTCCTGCTTATATTGACACTAACTGTAAATAAAGATCACTTACGTTTTTTTACATGGCAATTTTTCTCACTGTCAGTTTGTCTACTCTGGGTATAAAACAGGTCAAACTATGATACTACAGCTTTGCCAGCTTGTGGGAAATACTACAGTGCTTTTTGTAAAAAGTAACTTCAAGTGAGTGAATCTGACTGAGAACTGCAAAACACACACAAGCTCATATATAGCATGCAGTATATAACCATGCCCCTGTTATATCATTTAATTTACTTTTATTGGGATCAGCAGAGTTCAAAAAACACTCTTGCGCTCTATTACATAAAACCATATAGGAAAAGTTTATGGAGGTCACAAAGCAAGAAGTAGACACATCTTCTAGAATATTGGTGTCCAATCTTGGACCTCAAGGGCCACCATTCTGTATATTTTATATGTCCCTCTACTTCCACATACCTGATTTAAATAGAATTGTGTTTAACAGGCTTCCACACAACTTCAGGATGTGTTGAAAAGGTAATTCAAGCAATAAATCAGGTGAGTTGAAACAGGAAAACAACTAAAGCATGCTAGATAGTGGATCTCAAAGAACAGGATGGAACACCAGTTTTAGTAGATGGTAGTTCTTTCCAGCACCCCCTACTGAACATTGGGGGGGGGGGGGGGGGGATTTGCTTCATTTTTCAGATTCAAGGCTCGATCCATTTGCTAAACACAGCTTAAGCAACTAGCCTACATAAAATCTCAAAGTTCACTTGGATGTTAAATCATAAAAAAATAGTTCAAGCTCTAACTCGGTCATCTAAGCATAACATTTGATGAACTGTTCATTCAGCTAGCTTAACTGACTTCATCAAACACCTTGAATACTTATGTACTATTGCTCACTACAGTGATGAAAGAAGCTAATGCAATAAAAGTGAAGCTGCAGTGATAAACCTCCTCCATGCTCAATTCAATCTTGGCTGCACCAGAGCATTCAGTGTAGCAGGAATGTATTGAGAGAAAAATAGCATGCACAGCAAACACAAAGTAAAGCAGAGGTGAAGAGGAAAAAGGTGCTCAGGGCTACATCAGAACCAGACAAGAATGAGAAGAGAAGACAGAGGTGGTGAGTGGGTTAAACACTGATTTCATCACAATCAAAATACCACAATAATGTAGCCTTGTATGCTTTCGCTATGAGATAAGGGCACATATTAATGAACCTCTGAAGACCCATAGAGAGAGGAGACCCAAAGCTCTGCTTGGTCAGACTGGGTTCAGTGAGGCAGGGGTTAGAGGACAGAGGTTAGGGAAATAGAAAAAAATAAATAAAAGACCTCTTCTGCTCCCTGTTGGGTCAGGTCTGGGCATTTATTTTTTATTGTTGTGTTTTCAGTGCTGAAAGTTCACCATAATGAGATGTCCAGAATTGGAAGGGGGAAAAACTTTGAAACACCAGTTGAGGAAAGGTTTGTAAGAGATACTAAAATTAAAGAGGATGTTTGAAAAACACTAAAGGTTTTTAAGAGTCCTTCTATAGAAAAAAACAATATCTGGAATTAGCATTATTGTTTGATTTTACACATATAGACAGTTAATGCAAATACATTTACCGGCCACTTAATTAGGTGCACCTTGCCAGTGCTCACCCCCCGTTTTGCCTTCAGAATTGTTTTAATTATCCATGTCATCAAGTTGTTGGAAACAGAAATGTTGGTTCATACTGACATGATCACACAGTTGATGCAACATTTTCAGTTTCTCATTCATGACGTGAATCTCCTGTTCTACCACACCCCAAAGGTGATAGAATGGATTGAGATGTTGTGGGTGTGTAGGCCGTTGAAGTTCAGTGAATCAAGACTCATTAGCACAGGATGTTTTTTTTTTCTATCTTTTGAACTAATTTTGATGAGTCTGTGTGAATTACGTATAGCTTCACTTTCCTGTTCTTGGGAAACAATATAGCAGTGGTCCCTGGTGCGGTCTTCTGTTGCTGTAGCCCATATGTGTCAAAGTTTGACATGTGTGTTCAGAGAAGGTATTCTGCATATCTTTGAGTGGTTATTTGAGCTACAGTTGCCTTTTTGTCATCTCAAACCAGCCTGCTCATTCTCTTCTGATGTCTAGCATTAACAAGACTCTTTGTTATGTTGTCTTTTTTGGACCAATCTCTTTAAAGCTTAGAGATGGTTTTGTGTAAAAATCCTAGTAGATCAGCAGTTTCTGGAATACTCAAACCAGCCCGCCTCGCACCGACAATCGTGCCACATTTAGTTACTTAAAGCCCCTTTACCCCCCATTCTGATGCACAGTTTGAACTTCAGCAAGTTGTCTTCGCCATGTTTACATGCCTAAAGAGACTGAGTTGATGCCATGTAATTGGATGATAAGCTATTTGTGTTAACAAGCAATATAGCAGGTATACTTAATAAAATGGATGGTGAGTGTAAAAATAGGCTATATTCCCGGAGGCTATAACATTTCAGTGACCTAGCCAAGATCCTTGTTTTTTTTTTTTTACTGTTACATAAAAAGCAACACAAGGCGTGCACCAACAGTAGGTGAAACAAACTCTGATGATGATCTGAGCCTTAGACTGGAAACACTGTTATTGCATTTCACTGCATTGCATCATCATGTTTAATAAAAATGACACAGTAATCCTCCTCGTGCACGAGAGACTGTGTATGCTGTGTATGCTTACGCAGTGCAATCTTTGCCAAGTGCAGACGGTTGACCCAGGAAATTTTACTAAGGGGGTTGGGAGTGTTGAAGACCACCATGAAACTAACGGGTCGCCCGGACCTACAGGAGAACACACATACACACACAAACAGAGGCTCAGGATGCATGCACATATGGATTGATACTCCATTTCAGACATGTTGGTGGAAAATAAAGCACATATACAAACACAATGTAATACATGCATAAATTAATTTTGATTTGATCTCATTCTGTTCAGCTCATTTGAATACATTACAGTTCAGTCTCATCCCATGTATGGCTGTAACAATACATTAATTTTGATATCCATTAGTTTACTTTTAAAAACCGTCCAGAAGACCTGACTGAACATTGTGGGATTTTATACCTGGATTATTGAGCATGGACTTTGGTGTTTTGAACCAGTTTGACATGACTGTCGACGAGGGAAAGGGCGGAAACTGGAGGAGAGGGCATGCCCCAGAGTCCATCTTAGCACCAACATAACTGGGTTTTTTTTCCACTTTGGAATAGGTTGTTGGGGGAGAAGCAGTTTTGTTTGGCAATTCCTCAGACTGATGAAGCCATCCTGATGGAGGGTGAAACGTCTCAGCACAAAAAAAGAAACCAACCAGATGACCTGACTGAACATTGTTGGATTGTATACCTGGATTATTGAGCATGGACTTTGACATCTGTTAGAAAAAGTTATGTTCTGAGGTTGTCTTGATAATGGAGCCCACTCATTACGAAGTGTCATCATAAAACTACAAATACCCCCCAAATGTTTAGGACAATTCCAACACAGTCTGTGTTTCCTATTGTCGGACAACCTCTGTTCTCCATACAACTGTAGAAGCTTGTTGGTTGTAAAAGTAAACCAAGTCACTAATTAATTTAATTTTGAAACAAAGAGTTACTCAAACCTTTGGCAAGAAAATGAAAATCCAACTCTGAGCTAAAACAAAAGCTACAGACAGAACCATCTTGCTAAGAACGGACACGTGGGTAAATTCTAACAGGTCCATATTTTGCGAACAAGCAATGTATTTTTAAAAGGAAAAATATCTTTAAACAGCCTATATTCCTGACAAACTGCAGTGTGCCGCAGAGTGAGGAAAGGAGGGAAAGTGTCGCCACAATTAATGTTTGTTCCATTAGAAGCCTTAACCAGCTGTGGCTTCATTGTTTTGGACAAAGCCTTTTGTAAGGATAACAGTGGATAAGCACAAATCAAGAAAATGGGGGTTGAAAACCCATAAAGCCTCTGTATCCGTGGTGAGTCATGACGCACTGAGAAAAAATCAGGGACAAGAGCGCTGCAGGACGCAGGAGGAGGAGGCCACAGGCAGTTTTTACTGCAAACAGAATTACAATTAAAACAAGTATATTTGTTTAATTGGTCAAAGAGTCTGTGTTTAACTGCTCATAGTTCATTCTAAAACAGCTGCCGTGATGTTACAGTGGAAATTAACTGTCCGTAAGGATAGTCACAATGATTTTTTATTTATTTTTTTTGGTGGGGGTGGGGGGGGGAGTGACATCTTTGTACATCTGCCTACTGACTACTGTAATTTTACTTAAAATAAATATTTCCCTTTAAGTCATTTTAACTGAATCTTTTTCATATATTTTTTAAATAATAAGATAACATTTTTACAGAAATTGTTACTGAACAAATAAAGCATGCAGATATTTGATGAGCCATAAAACAGCAGCAGTATCCTACAGTGGCTGTTGTTTTCAATTGAAGACATTTGTTTCTGGTATCCCTTTCAAACAAGCCCTACTTATTGTATTTTTATTTATTTATTATTATTTACACATTTAGCCTACTATCTGTGGCCTATAAACTCCGAGATGTGAATTAGCTTTGAATTAGTTGCAAAAAAAAGTAATTTTCATGTGTCAAAAGGCATCGCCCTTTGGTCTGTGGGTGTAAAAACGTATCTCCAATATGTTACATAAAAGATTTAGGAAGGAAAACAAGTTACCTTGGTTGGCCTCTTGTTTTCACCGTGTGACAAAGAACAATTTTAGCATTTTTTTTATTTCATACATACATCTTAGTCCCATATTGAAATAAAGATAAACATATTTGCACTACTATCTCTAATTTACTATATGAAGACAGAAAGAAAATGCATATTTAATTACATAAATGTATGATTTTGACATGTTTAATGACCATAAGCAAACTACATCAAGCCAATCCGGTAAAGCAGGATATCTTTTATGTACTGTGGGTGAAAATTGAACACCCAGTCTTTGATTGGAAGACAACCTACCTCATTATTGTTGTTCCTCTTTAAAGGTTGGTGAGTGCAGTTGGTTTTAATTTATTGTACAATTGATTCCAATAGTTACCCATTTCCAAGGCAAAACATTCATTCTTTCACTTTTCATGCCACATGACAATATTCACATCCTGTTTCATTTAGGTGTTCAATATTCGTGGCCTTGTCTTGCTTTCAAGCCAGGTAAGAGACTTATTGATTTAAAGCAACTCTTCTTCAGGAAAATGTTTGTGCAAAATAAATATGCACCCTCAGTACCCAGTAAAGTTAACATATGTAAAATTATTATTTATAATTGCATGCATGCTTTGACGTGGCTTGTTTAAAAGCTTTAATTTGTTGTTGGCAGTATCGTTCTGTCATTCTTCAGTTCTGGCTTTTGTTTTTTTTTTGTTTTTTCTTTCACACATGTGAGATCTGGTCTCCAACTGTGCCAAAGCTTGATTTGGCTCCAAAAGGCTCTAACTGATCAGAGCCTCGGCTGCTTGTGCCAACAAAGCCCACACATTAGTGGTTTTTTCCCCCCCTTTGAGTACTGATGCCCACCTATAAGCGATTTACTGTGACCAGCCTGCGTGATCGTCAGAGCACGGCCTGAATATTGATGTGGAGGCTGAAATCATAAAGCCCCAGCACACCGGACTGAACTGCTGTAAAGCCTCAACGAGGCGAGAAGATGCTCTGACGTAAAATTCTGCTGTATTAAACCCAAATTCCCATGAAGTGGAAAAAAATTCATTTTCTTTTTGGTGCTCTGTTTTTTTGTGAGGTTGTTGCTCTGAATTCTGGTTTCATTCAGCACATGCAAAGTATATAATCAAATCAACGTTTGTCTTTTTTTACTACCACTCTATAAAATAAAGCTTTATCAAAAAAGGCGTTTGTAAGAAATTATATAGGTTACAAAACATATTTGAGATTTTCTCAATTTAAAATGCAAAACAGTATTTTAATTTGTGGGACTTAAATAAAGAGTGTGTGTGTGTGTGTGGGGGGGGGGGGGGGGGGGGGGGGGGGGGGGTCGGTATGGGCGGGGCTTTGCATTTTTTACCTTGTAACGCCCATTTTTTTCCCCGAACAAATACTACAATGTGAGAACCCACTGCGGAGCCCGGGAAGTGCCGTAGGTGGGTTAGAGGATGAGTTAGGTTTAGGGTTGGGTATGTACTGGTAATGGTTAGGTTTAGGGTCAGGTATGTACTGGTAATGGTTAGGTTTAGAGTCAGGTATGTACTGGTAATGGTTAGGTTTAGAGTCAGGTATGTACTGGTAATGGTTAGATTTGGGGTTAGATATGTACTGGTAATGGTTAGGTTTAGGGTCAGGTTTGTACTGGTAATGGTTAGGTTTAGGGTCAGGTATGTACTGGTAATGGTTAGGTTTAGGGTCAGGTATGTAATGGTTAGGTTTA